GGATATTCTTCATATGCCACTGGGGAAGGGGAAGGACATGACCAGTCTATCATGTAAATACCTCAGTGTCTTTGGTAGGTTGGGCAGAAAGGACAAGGAAGAGGTACAGGAAAGTATTCCTCTGTCCTTTTCCTATCACCATTCTGTTAAGGGTGACTACTCTAGAGCTTGTTGGAATGGTTTTGTTTTAAGGCAGTTTTAAGAGAGGCTATTTTTTTTTACATATATTTGTTGGCTTGGGGTATCCTGTAAAGTCTAAGGCTTAGGCAGTGTTAATTGAGGAAGAAGAGGAATGAATTATGGGGTAAAGAGAAAAAGAAAAGAATTGCATTCAGAAGAATGTCATCAGCAGTGATTTCAGATAGCATTTCCTATTTGAATAGCATATTGTTCATAATTGAATGTGATTCACTTTAAGTCCTGTTTTTTTTTTGTGTTAGATCTGATATTTTTTGCATTTTAAAATTTCTCTTAATGAAGGAACTATGAAAGGAAATGTACCTACATGATGTATGTAAATGTAATCCCACTGTATAGCACTTTTTTTTGTTTTTTTGGGTCAGTTGTGGGGCTTGAATTCTGGGCTTGGGCACTGTCTCTGTACACTTCAGCTCAATGTGAGTGTCTACTGCTTGAGCCACAGCACCACTTCTGGTTTTCTAGTACTTAATTGGAGATAAGAGTCTCACAGACTTTCTTGCTGGGGCTGGCTTTGAACCATGATCCTCAGATCTCAGCCTCCTAAGTAGCTAGAATTATAGGCATGAGCCACCAGTGCCCTGCTACATAGCACTTCTGAAACAACAGTAAAGTAAATTTTAAAAAATTGTCTCTCTTCAGTGCCATCAAAATTTTAGAAAATCAAGAAGAAACAAATCTTATCCTATCAAAACACTATTTTAACTACTGACATTTTTCTAGCCAAATCTGTTTTTTTTTTTTCTTTCCTTTGTTTTTGCATGACCACAATTTTGTCTTCTATTTCTGTGAAATGTCTTTCAGCATGTTCTTTTTTTTGGGGGGGGGGGGGGTCCGGTCTTGGGGCCTGAACTCTGGGCCTGGGCGCTGTCCCTCAGCTCTGCAGCTCAAGGCTAGCGCTCTACCACTTGAGCCACAGTGCCACTTCCGGCTTTTTTCTTTTTGCTTATGTGGTGCTGAGGAATCGAACCCAGGGCCTCAGGCATGCAAGGCAGGCGCTCTACCACTGAGCCATCTTCCCAGCCCCTCAGCATGTTCTTGAAAAGCCAAAGGACAAATACTGGATGACATCATTGACTAATTTAACACTCTAGTCCAAAAAGGAATTTTTTATCACATGTTGTTCTTTTTCTCAATGTATGGATAATATTTGTATACATCATTACTATTAAGAAAGCGAATAATTTAATAGTTGTACAGAAGCCCAGGAGTATTCAAGACTTCTGAGAAACCTCTTCTGTACTTTTGGAGAAACTGAGCTGATTTGTGACAGGGACTTAGAAGTTGATGCTTTTACATGTGCATTTTCTTTTGTTCGCTTCCATTTAAATGAGTTCATTAAAATTTTAAAATTATTATTATAAAGGTGATGTACAGAGGGGTTAGTTATAGTTACATAAGTCAGGTAAAGAGTACCTTTTTCATGTTTTTTTTTGTACTTTTTTATTGTAAAAATACTGTACAGAGGGGTTACAGTTACATGAGCAAGGTAATGAGTACATTTCCTATCAAGCATTGTTGCCTCCTCCTTCGTTTTCCTCCTACCATCCCTTCCCTCACCACCCTTCCTCCGCCCCACCAAAGTTGTAAAGTTCATTTTCAACATAGTGTCTTGTACATCTCATTGTTACAATGGGTCAAACTGTATCCCTATTTAAGCATTTTGTTTTTCCTTTTCCCCTCCCCAAATTAGAGAAGTGTATATACAAGATGCAGGGCACTGACATCAAATACAGTGAAAAATGGGTTATACTGTGGGGGAGGAACATACAAAGAAACAAAAAAAAAAAAATCACCTGGTACATTATAAATACGTTAGAAACAATAGCAAGAAAGAAAAAAATATTTGTGACCCTATTTTAGTGTTCATTTCACTTAACATCATCTTATATGGTCATATGTACATAGTTTTTGACCTTTTCTGCTTGTCCTAGACATGTACTAGTTATTGCAAATAAGGGAAACCATGGGACCTATGTTTCTTTGGGCCTGGCTTACTTCACTTAATATAATTTTTTCCAAGTCTTTCCATTTCCTAACAAATGTGATGTCATTCTTTCTGATGGAGGCATAGAATTCCATTGTATATAGATATGCCAGATTTTCTTGATCCATTCATCTACTGAGGCGCATCTGGGTTGGTTCCATATCTTAGCTATGGTGAATAATGCTGTGATAAACATAGTTGTGCTGGTAACTCTAGTATGGTCTTTTTATGATCATTCGGGTAAATGCCCCAAAGTGGGATTGCTGGGTCATAAATCTTTTGAGGAACCTCCATACTTTCCATAGTGGTTGAACAAGTTTATACTCCCACCAACAATGCAGTAGGGTTCCCTTCTGGCCACATCCCCTTCAGTATCTAAGGATACTTTTTTTTTTTGGACAATGTCACCCCAAATAGGTTCTTTTTTTTTTTTTTAGGTCCGGTCGTGGGGCCTGAACTCTGGGCCTGGGCACTGTCCCTCAGCTCTTCAGCTCAAGGCTAGTGCTCTACACTTGAGCCACAGCGCCACTTCTGGCTTTTTTTTCTTTTTGCTTATGTGGTGCTGAGGAATCGAACCCAGGGCCTCAGGCATGCAAGGCAAGCGCTCTACCACTGAGCCCCCTTCCCAGCCCCAAATAGGTTCATTTTTAAATGATGGTATCCAAATATATTTTCTGAGGTGAAAAGTGATAAACCATGGTTAATAAACATAATAAACTATCTCTGGGTAATTAAGAAATGTTGGGTAGATGGGAATGGCCTGAATTTTCACTGGGTTAAACAAACATTTTGGTGGAGTGATGATTTTATTTGCTTGAACTGAATAAATTCCAGTACAAAAAATCACTTACAGTTTTAATGTACTTTTAAAGTTTTAATATACTTTTAAAGTTTTACAGTTTTAAAGTTTTACAGTTTTAATATACCACTTAGCAATATTCCAGCCCAGTTATAGGAATCTTTAATCTCAGGTACCATATGTTGTCACATAATCTTTTATCATCCTCTTTGTTTTATCGTCACAAACGAGTTTGTCCTCTTTTATAAAAATGTATCATTTTGATAAAATAGTAATTATTGTAATAGATCCACACAGAGATGTTCTTTTTTTTTTTGTTGTTGTTGTTGTTGGTCATGGGGCTTGAACTCTGGTCCTGGGTGCTGTCCTTCAGCTCAAGGTTAGCATTCTACCACTTGAACCAAAGTGCCACCTCTGGTTTTCTGGTGGTTAATTGGAGACAACAGTCTCACAGACTTTCCTGCCCGGGCTGGCCTTTAACTGTGATCCTCAGCTCTCAGCCTCCTGAGTATCGAGGCTTACAAGTGTGAGCCACCGGTGCTGACTTACAGATATGTTCTTAATCATTTGATTAAATCACTTTTGTTCATCCCTCTATCTGGTAATAGCAGGCACTCATATTTATTACATAGACATGATTGGTTATTATTAGGCATTGAATAACAAACTTTTATTTATTTTTTTTATGTGGTTGTGATTTATTTATTTTGTTGCTTGTCCTGGCCACTGTTCCTGAGCTTTTTTTGCTTAAGGCTAGCACTCTACCATTTGACCCACAGTTCCACTTTTAGCATTTTGATAGTTTATTGGAGACAAGAGTCTTACAGAGGGGCTGGGAAGGTGGCTCAATGGTAGAGTGCTTGCTTTACACGCATGAGGCCCTGGTTTCAATTCTTCAGCACCACCACATAAGCAGAAAAAGCCGGAAGTGGCACCGTGGCTCAAGTGGGAGAGCGCCAGCCTTGAGCTGAAGAGCCCAGAGTTCAGGCCCCACGACCGGTTTAAAAAAAAAGTCTTACAGACTTTCTGCCAGAGCTGGCTTCAAACTGAGATTCTCAGATGTCAGCTTCCTGAGCAATTAGGATTACAGTCACTGGAGACTTTGTAGAGTAGTTTTTTAAAGATGACACTAAAAATCAATTAGCATGTTTAATTTTAAAGCTCAGTATTAAAAAATGAATGTGTTTTTCTAAAACTTTAGGCTAAGTAACTTTTTTGATGTTTCTTTTACTCAAATTGAAATAGATTTTAGAAATAACTATTAATTTTAGTTACTGACTGCAATAACTGCTAACTTCAGTTTTCTAAGGCTAATATACTCATAGATTGCTGTGGATGAAATAATGAAGTTTTTAGGAGGCGTACTAATTATTGTAGTTAAATATTAATTTTGTTGTTGTTGTTGGTTGTAGGGCTAGAAATCAGGGCTTAAGTGCTGAGCTCTTTTGCTCAAGGCTAGTGCTTTCCCACTTTGAACCATAGCTCCACTTCCAGTTTTTTGAATGGTTAATTAGAGGTAAGAGTCTCTTGGGATCTTTTCTGCCCAGGCTGGCTTTGAGCCATGATCCTCAGATCCCAGCCTCCTGAGTAGGTAGGATTAGAGGCATGAGCCACCAGTGCCTGACAATATTTAAAAATTTACTGGAAAATTTGATAGTGGGAAATGATATTTGGTCACTAATTTCTCTAAGAAAAAATATAGGTGAATGTATAAAAAAGCCTTAAAATGCTACAAAAACAGCTGGGCACCCATAATCCTTCCTACTCAGGAGGCTGAGATCTGAAGATCATAATTTGAAGCTAGCCTAGATAGGAAAGTCCATGAGATACTTACATCTCCAATTAACCTCTGAAATACCAAGAAATGGAGCTGTGACTTTAGTGGTAGAGCAGTGGCCTAGAGCACAAAAGCTCAGGTTCAGCTCTCAAGCCCCGAGTTTAAGCCCCATTGTGAGTACACACAAAAAAAGCCAAAAAGAGAAACATCCTAAATTACAGTATTTCTTTTCATTTCAGGGTTGAACACAGAGTGAAATCATTTTCAGAGGTAAAAGACTGTTAAGAATACAAGATGGGGACTCCTGGTTCTGGAAGGAAAAGAACACCCATGAAAGATCGATTTTCTGCAGAAGATGAAGCTTTGAGTAACATTGCCAGAGAGGTATGTCTGGTAAACTCCCTATTATTGCACAGTGAGATTATCATATAAATGTGGGAGTGGCAGAGATAGATATTCATACATTTTGAGCTAGCTTTAGAATGCTTACTGTGAACCAGATGCTAGGGCTGACCTCTTTCATACTGTGTTAAAATAAAATACATAGATAAGTATTGAACTAAGCTGAAATTAATTTGCATTACAGTTTTGTCCATTCAGTTCAAGTATTGTTCATATGTACTGAAATGTCTAATTCCTCTTCAAAATTTAAGTGTAAGATAATTAGAATGTTGGAGATACAATAAACTATATTGCAGAAACGGTCATTTTATGATTTGAAGTCCCCTGAGGATCTGTGTAAATATTGACAGTCTTACTTTGTTCAGCCTGACTTTGCTCATGGCTGTTTTGTTCCTTGCTGGCACTTTACCACTTGAGTAGTATTACCAGTTCTGATTTTTTGTTGTGGAATTAGAGATGAGGATTTGTCTTCCCCAGGCTTACTTCAAACCTAGAACCTCATGTCTTACCTCTTGATTAGCTAGGATTATAGTTGTGAGCCACCAGATTTTTTTTGTTGTTGTTGTCGGTCATGGAGCTTGAATTCTAGTCCTGGGCACTGTAGCACCAGATTTTTTTTTTTTTTTGAGGAAAAAAAATGCTAGCATCTCCTAGGCTCTTTTTGTACTGTCATTAAGTATGTAGTTCTTCCCCCTTTTAATATAATGCTTCTTTTACAAAACTGGATAGGATTCCAACCTGCTGCTTCATTGAGTATTTACTTGTGCATGCTAAGCAAGAACTCTTTTGATACTGAGCTATCTCTCCAGCCTATTGTTCTAAACATTTTACCTAAGGTAATTTAGTTTTGTAAAATTCTGAGATTTATTTTATTATTATCTCCATCTCACAGATGAAGCAACTGTTACACAGACAACTTCCCCTAGGTTACTTAATGAGGAAGTATCAAAGCTTGGGTTCAAACACATAAAGTCTGGCTCTATAGAATGTGCATTGAACTGCTTATTATGCCACACTGTTTAAACACTCAGTCTTCTATAATTCAAGTCCTCTAATAGTTTGCTTTTTGGTAATTTTTCATGACTTTTTCCATCTTCATTCTAACAAGAATCTTGAGTTAGGTAGAGCAGATATTATTAACCTTATGTACAGTTGAGAGAGAACAAATGAAGCTAAGACATAATTATCTACAAGGTATCAGAACCCAGACTCAAAGTCAGCCATTTTTGAGACACACACTCACACAGACACACACACACACACATATTTTTTTTTGGTGCCAGTTTTGGTGCTTCAACTCAGGGCCTGGGGGGCTGTCTCTGAATTTTTTTTGCTCAAGGCTAGTGTTCTACCACTTGAGCTACAACTCCACTTTTTTTTTTTTTTTTTGTCAGTTATAATGTTTGAACTCTGTCTGGGAGCACTGTCCCTGAACACTTTTTGCTCAAGGCTAGATCTCTACCACTTTGATCCACAGCTCTACATCTGGTTTTCTGGTGGTTAGTTAGAGATAAGAGTCTCACAGACTTTCTTAAGACCCTTCTGGCTTTGAACCATGGTCCTCTTATCTCAGATTCCTGAGTAGCTAGGATTATAGTGTGAGCCACCAGGACCTGGCTAAGACTATTTTTATCCCACTTTGCCATACTGCTTCCAGACCCTTTGGACTCTGGAGACAAACAAGTATGATTTGAATTACAGCTCTGCTAGTTACTAGTAGAGTAATTTTGTTAAGTGATTTTTCTGGATGTCAGTATCTATATCTGTAAATCTCCCTACCTCACAAGCTTATTTGATGATTAAAGGGTGGTAATGCAAATGGGTCTCTACAGTTAGGTTTACAGCAGACTGTTTATTGCTTATTAAAAAGTAAACATGGAAGATGGGTATGAGGCACATACTTTGGAAGCTAAGGGAGGAGATTTTGAGTTTGAGGACAACCTGGGTTACAACCTGTGTCAAAACAAAAACCAGAAAGTAGAAATAGAAAGAGGTGGTGGAAAGGTAACTAGATCTTTTCTTTTCTTTCTTTCTTTTTTAATTTTTTGTTGGTTGTGGGGCCTGAACTCAGGGCTTTGGCACTATCCCTCAGCTCTTCAGCTGAAGGCTAGTGCTCTACCACTTAAGCTACAGCACTACTTCCGGCTTTTTCTGCTTTTGTGGTGCTGAGGAATTGAACCCAGGGCCTCATGCATGCAAGGCAAGCACTGTACCACTGAGCCACCTTCCCAGCCCCTAACTAGATCTTTTCTTTTCTTTTTTTTTTTTTAAACTATATCTTTTCTAAAATAAGTTTTTTCTTTTCTTTTCCTTCCTTCCTTCCTTCCTTCCTTCCTTCCTTCCTTCCTTCCTTCTTTCTTTCCTTTCTTTCCTTCTTTCTTTCTTTCTTCCTTTCTTTCTTCCTTTTGTGCTTGGATTTGGACTCAGAGCTTTGCATTTCCTAGGTAGGTGCTTTAGCTCTTGAGCCATGCCTTTAACTCTTTGCTCTGCTTATTTTTGAGTTAGGGTCTTGCTTTTTGCCCAGGTTGGCCTGGACTGTGGTGTCCTCTATTTATGTTTCACATCTAGCTAAGATGACAAATATGTGCTGTCATGTCCAACTATTAGTTGAGATGGGATATTGCGAACGTACGTGTGTGTGTGTGTGTGTGTGTGTGTGTGTGTGTGTGTGTGTGTGTGTGTGTGTGTGTGTGTGTGTGTGTGTGTGTATTCTGACACTGGGCTTGAACTTGGGGCCTTAGTGCTGACCTTGAGTCTTTTTTGTTAAGGCTAGTGCTTTAATATTTGAGGCATAGCTCTACTGGGGAGTATTGCAAACTTTATGCCTGGGTTAATCTCTACTTGCAATCCCCCTACTCTAGCTCCTAAGCTAGGATTCTAGGCTTAAGTCACCAGCACCAAGCTTAAAAACCCAGTTTTTTAATATATATTGTTCTCAAACACCAAAATCTCTCAGGGATCTCAATCAATATACAAATTCTGAGATCTTATTCCATATTTGCATAACTGAATCTGGACTGAGCTCAGAAAATTAAATTTCCTTCTTTCACTCTTTCTTTCTGTCTCTTTCCTGGAATTTTGGTGGCCAGTCAGGTTTGGGAATCATAAATCAAAATATATAGATGATCCTATCCTGGATGGTAAATTTGAGGCCTCACACTTGCAAGGCAGGAACTTTTGCTGCTGATTCATGCCTCCACCCATATTTTTGCTGTTGTTTGTTTGTTTGTTTTTTTGGGTCCGGTCATGGGTGCTGTCCCTCAGCTCTTCAGCTAGCACTCTGCCACTTGAGCCACAGCACCACTTCTGGCTTTTTTTTTTTTTTTTTTCTGCTTTTGTGGTGCTGAGGAATGAACTCAGGGCCTCATGCATGCGAGGCAAGCACTCTACCACTGAGCCACCTTCCCAGCCTTGCTGGTTGTTTTTGAGATAGGGTTTGATTCCTACCTGGGGTGTGAGTCTGGGTGTGATCCCCTTCTGTCATAACTAGAATAACAGGTCTGTGCCACTGCATCCAGCTCTCAGTTGAGAAAGAGTCTTGAAAATTTTTCTTCCTGACCTTGCCTTGAACTGCCTTCCTCCAAATCTCAGCCACTAGTGCCTGATTATTGTTAGATTTCACTTTTTCTTTTCTTTTCTTTTTTTTTGTCGGTCGTAGGGTTTGAACTCTGGGCCTGGACACCGTCCCTCAACTCTTCAGCTCAAGGCTAGCACTCTACCACTTGAGCTATAGCACCACTTCTGGTTTTCTGGGGGTTTATTGGAGATGAGAGTTTCGCAGACTTTTCTGCCTGGGCTGGCTTTGAACTGCGCTTCTCAGATCTCAGCCTCCTGAGTAGCTAGGATTACAGGCGTGAGCCACCGGCGCCCGACTCTTTTTTGTTTTGGTGGTACTGGAGTTTGAATTCAGGCCTCATGCTTTCAAGACAGGCATTTTTACTGATTGAGCAGTAATTTTTTGCTGTCCTCTCCTTCGCCCGAGATAGGGTATCAGTGCTTGTCTATGGATAGTTTTTTTATAGTTACAGATTAGTTCCCCCCATTTGTAACTACTATGCTATGTTTCCTCCCTGTTTATTACTAACTAGTTAGTTGTGGTATAACTACGTTTAATTAGTTATGTTTGCAGCATTAGTTCTAGCTAGAACTAATCAGTTCTAGCATTAGTATACTAGAAGCTATACAATAACAAAACAATTATAACAATGATATGAAAAACCAATATTTCTAATTTTTATTTCTATTTTCAGAGTTTGAGTAAGCATACTAACTTTCATCACAAACTCAGAAAAGCTCAACTTTTATTTGAAACTTGAAAGGGCTGATTTTTATTGTTAAGATTTTGTTATATGATATGTGCCTAGTATGAATCAATAGTTTTAAAACATAAGAGGAAATAAGTTCAGTAATTTTAATTATTCCTTCTGATTCCTTCTCTTTTCTTTAATGTTTTTTAACCATTGACATACCATCTGGTGGATTAGTTAATGTTTTCTTGATAATAATAAATACTTGATAAATACTTAGGAGAAACAATTTAAAAGAGAAAGAATTTTTGCTCATGATTTCAGAAATCTTAGTCAGTGTTGTCAGGCTTCATTCCTTTTAGGCCCATGGCAAGGCAGAACTTTATGGATGAAGAGCATGGCTGAGGGAAGCTATTTACCTTGGTGCCAGCCACGAAGCCAGAGTGAGGATGGGGCCAGTGACAAACTGTATCTTTCCAGGGTGTAGCTTCTGTGATCCACTCCTCTTGACTAGACCATACCACCTAGCCTCTGCCACTTTCCAGTAGTGCCATCATATTACAGATCTGTTAAGGAATAATCTGTTGATTAAATTCATACCCTCAGAATCAAATCACTTTGCAAAACCCAGTTGTTATGTGTTAGCCAAGCCTTCAATACGGGAGTCTTCTCAGAGTCAAACCATATACTGTCCACTCACTGTATGTTAGGCATTCATTGTGGGGCCATCATTTT